GCAATCTGCGTGGCGTCCATCCATTGACTAAGCCCGCTGTTCCATAGGAACCGGGTGACGGCGTAGATATCGCGATGTTGTGCTGTGGCTCCCGTGATGCGTGGGCATAACCTCGTTCTGACTGCACCGTGGCTGTGACACAACATGGCGGCGAGTAGCTTACAGTTGTACAACCTGTGACTTGTTGCCCGATCGCCGCATTTCCACTCAAATATGGCGGCAAACTTCCACTCAATTGTGGCGGCGGATTTGCACTCAATTGTGCCGGCAACTGTCCATGGCAAGATGGCGTCACTGATCCCGTTGGCAGATTTTCACTCAAGAGCTGCCCTTCTGTTGCGCTCAAACATGGCGCCTTACCTAGCGGTGTATTCGCCGCACCGCTCACTCCGACGCCGCTCAACCCGATACTAACGGGATTCCTGGCGGCCGTCGCTTGTCCTTCATTTGCCCTTGCCTGTAGGAGCTCCTTCTCCAGACTTGCGATCCTTTCCATGAGCGTCGCAATCTGCGTAGTCGTAGGGTCCATAGCCTGTCCTGGTTGTTCCGCCTGGGCAGTGTCCATGGTGCGTTTTACCCCACTTTCCTTTGGAGTCCGTGGCCGCTGTCGTCCACCATCTGCATTCGCCAAGCCGGCCGGTGTGCCAGATGCTGCAGATGTGGTCCTTGTAGCTGCGGTAGCCTCAGATTGGTTTATTCTGGGGCTCCGTCTGGGCGAATGTGTAGTCGGCATGTCGCACATGAATCTGTGTATGTACGCTTCCAAATGCCGCTAGAGTTCCAACTCCAAGACTCCGAATAACGGAATGCGAATAAAAGAAATGACGCCGATCTAAATTCCAAGTGGAGTTGCCTTTAACACTCTTCACCGAAACGAGAAATACCAGATCCCGTAGCGTAACAACACATCAAATGGACAAGCATAAATGAGCGTGTATTATGAGCGCTGTGAGCGTTTTATTCTGTTGAGGAAAACATACAAACTTAACTTTAACCTCAACTTATAACTTCTACATACCGCAGTATTTCCTCCCTTCTCTCTTGGAATCGCCGATCGGAGTAACCGTGGCGCCAATCTTAGCGTAGCTTTTTAGCACATAATGTGACCAATCACAAACAAATATAAATCACTAACGAATACTGAACGTAGCGCGTAATTCAAAATACTGACTGACTATCGATACTTAACAGACATTCTCATTAACATTATCCGATCCGCGACAGGCATATTTTGCTTTTTTACTTCCAAAAAGGAAAACAGCGGTCGAAGCTCGCGAAAAAATGTGCGAAGTGTATGGTAAAGATGCCATGAGTGATCGCCAATGTCAGCGCTGGTTTGCCAAATTCAGGCTTGGAGATTTTGGAGTTAAAGACGCCCCACGTTCTGGTCGACCATCGGACGTTTTTGACGAACAAATTCAGGCTTTGCTGGATGAAAACCGGCGTTATTCAACGCGGGAGATGTCAGAGAAGCTCAAAGTGTCGCATACAACGGTTGAAAACCATTTGAAGAAACTTGGCTACGTAAGCAAGCTCGATGTTTGGGTTCCGCATAACTTAAAGAAAATTTACCTAACTAAGCGTATCAACATCTGCTATTCTCTGCTGCAACGGATTAAAAACGATCCTTTTTTGAAGCGGATCATTACTGGCGACGAAAAGTGGGTTGTTTACAATAATGTCAACGAAAAAGATCATGGAGCAAGAGAGATGAGCCAGCCCAAGCCACATCAAAGGCCGATATCCATCAGAGGAAAGTTATGCTGTTTGTTTGGTGGAATTGGAAGGGTGTAGTGCACTTTGAGCTGCTGGGACGGAATGAAACCATCAATTCAGATGTGTACTGTCGCCAGCTATTCAATTTGGAGGAAAAAATTAAAGAAAAGGAGCCGGCACTAGCTAATCGCAAGGGTATAGTCTTTCACCATGACAACGCTAGGCCCCACACATCTTTAGTCACTCGGCAAAAATTAACGGAGCTGAATTGGGAAGTGCTACCACATCCACCTTATAGTCCGGACTTAGCACCTTCAGATTACCATTTGTTTCGCTCTCTTCAAAACTCTTTGAATGGTAAAAACTTTGATTCAGATGAGGCTGTCGAAAACCACTTGTCTCGATTCTTTGCCGGAAAAGACCAAAAGTTCTTCGAGCGCGGAATTATGCAGCTGTCCTGATATAAATAAATAATCTTTGAAAATATTGAAAAAAAAACGACATGACTTTTTTGCCAACCCAATACAATAATTTACAAGTATTTACATATGTTCACAAAAATTAGTGTACAACACGGGAAGACAAATCGCTGGGGTGGAATCTCTTTAAACGTCTAAGAGTTTGCGGGTCGACCAGCCTGCTAGCCAGTGGATTTGGATGACTCGTTAGCCTATCCGAGTACCGTCGGCTGTGTTGATTTAGTAGGTCGCCCACAGGAACAAGGCGTAAGTCGTTTTGGATGGCCTGGTTTGTCACATACCAGGGAAGTCCGGATGCCCGTCGAGCAGCACGTGCCTGCACTACTCTCAGTCTGTTTAGCTGGTGCTTGGAAGCGGTGCCCCATACTTCGATCGCATACGTCCATGTTGGCGAAAGGATTGCTTTGATGAGCAAAACTTTAGTCGAAAGCTGGAGGCTTTTGGATCTCAGGAGCCAATCGAGCTTCTGGAGTTTGCGAACGCACTTAGCTCTTATCGCCGTGATGTGGGTGTTCCATATGAGCCAGTGATCTAAGTGTACACCCAAGTAGCAGTGAGAGGTGCCGTTTTTAATGGTGTCACCATTGAATGTATGCACGATGTCGATCGCAACTCTTAGAGAAAAAGTGACGCATGCCGACTTGCTGCAGTTTATAGCAATGTTCCATTGCTTGGTCCAGCGCTCCATCGCACTTAGCCAGTCCTGAACAGCAGCCGAAGCTGTCAGCTGAGACGAGTGGGATGCAAGCAGGGCCGTGTCGTCGGCGTAAGTAGCCAGAAGCATACGAGCGTCTGTGGTGGGCGACGGAACTGGCATATCGCTTGTGTACATCGTGTATAGAAATGGACCAAGTACACTTCCTTGGGGCACTCCTCCGTGAATATGTGCCAAGCTGGATCGTGAGTCCTTTACTGCTACAACGAAGGTTCGATCGGCAATAAAAGACCTCAGGATGGCAAAATAGGGTGCAGGGAGAAGTTCCTTAATTTTGTAAAGGAGGCAGCCATGGGTCTTTCTAAAGCCGAACTGGTGTTGAGGAATATGGCTTTCTACTTGTGGTAGTTCCAATAGTCGACTGAGTAGAATCCGCTCGAACACTTTCGACAAAGTGGATAGCAGGCTGATTGGGCGGTAGGAATCGATTTTAGAAAGTGGCTTGCTTGGCTTTGGGATCATGATAATTCGGGCTTGCTTCCACAGTCTTGGAAAATGTCCCAGGCTTAGCATGGCGTTAAAAATTTTCACCAGCGCTAGCACTCCTTTGGGTGGGAGAGCCTTTGCCGCTCGATTGTCAATGCCATCGGGTCCAGGAGTCTTTTTTAAATTAAGCGCCTTTAACTGCAGCATGACTTCTTGCGGCGTGGTGTGTTTAATATGGTGCGCTGGCTGAAAGGGAGCGCGTAAGAAGCTTGCAACTTCGTCGCGGTGTAAAGCGTCTGGAAGATCGAAAGGAGTAATGGTGGCAGACAGATGTTCTGCAAAAGCGTTAGCTTTGTCGGAGTCGCTCTTAAGCCAGCGGCCACTGTGGCTTTGTATTGGAGATTGGACAAGCGGCTGTCTTTTGATTCCTCTCGTTAGCTTCCATATTGAAAAATCGCTGCAATTGTCCGGACCAGCTCCGTCCAGCAGGGTATTAATGTTTTTTTGACGGGTTTTCGCTAGCAACCTGCGCAGTCTATTTGTAGTGTTAGATAGAAGCTGCTTAGTTGCAGGATCGCCTGACACAATGAAATGCCTTCTGAGGTGCCGTTTTCGATCCAGCAAAGGAACCTAATGTTGAGTAGCCTAGCAATTGGACACATCCCAAATGCGTGACGTAGAGCTAGGGTGGTCCCCAAAGTAGCGAAGAAAGACATAACCAACCCCAAGTCCTTCAGACCTATCAGCTTAACTTCATATTGTCTTAAAACATTGGAAAATCTGGTAGACTACCATATTAGGAGCACAGTTCTCAAGCACCGTTAGCTGCAATCCACGCAGCACGCATACAGGGCAGGTTGTTTTTTGTCGCACTCTTGAAGGGGCAGAAGACAACAAAGAAGTAGTAAGCTGCCCCCACTAGGAGGAATATTGATGAGACAGACAACAAGGTGGATTGGAGCTTTGCTAAACTCCAGACAGGCAATGACGACGATTGGCACTAGCACAATGACTGCCGTAACAAGCAGAGGATGTCCGTAAGGTGGAGTTTTATCTCCTCTACTGTGGAGCGTACTAGTAGATTAACTATTAAGGAAACTCGCCGATAGAGGAATACAACAGGGCTATGCCGATGACATAGTAATTGTAGTCAGAGGGAAATTTGAAAAGACCAAAAACTAAACTTTATTGGTGCAGGGAAGTTGGGCTTAACCTCAAACCTTCAAAAACAGTCATTGTTCCTGATAAGTTGTGTCCCCTCCTGCCGGCAGCTCGGAGTCATAGAAAATTAAGGGGGTTCCATCGTCGTACAAAACACTTTGGAAATGTAAACAATATAATAATTTCACTATTTAATCGTGCTTCAAATGGTTTATATATAACAAGCAAATCAAAAAGAATAGCGCAGCTCCGTTAGCGTCGCGATGCAGACTAATTTGTCTCTCTCCCTCCAGCAGCAGCGAGAGCTCCCTTTGCCTAAACTCTTCTTAGGTATTGGCACCGTGGGGCCAGATCGCGAATCTGAACATGCCGCCCGCCAATGCTAGCCCACCAAAGTGCTTTGGGGGAGACTATGTTCGAATCGGCAAGCGACAGATCTTCGCTACCGACCGCTTCAGCTGTCCTTGCTGAGTTTTTAACGTCACTACGCGAACCAAGCCATCCTAACCCGGGTGAAGCTCCACAATCCTTCCGAGCAGCCACTGTGATGGGGGAAATCTATCGTCCTTGACGAGTACAAGTTCATCCAACTTTAAGTTTTCTGAATTTTGAGACCATTTTGAACGCTGCTGCAAATGGCTAAGCCAATCCCTACTCCAGCCGTCCCAAAAATGTCGCAACATTGATTCCTGAAGCAGGAAGTGCTCCCTGAACTTAGCAGAAGCTGGTCGGTATTCCGGAGGCGCAAGCGTGGAGTCGCCGATTAGGAAGTGGGCCGTAGTGAGCACTTCTAAATCGTCCGCGTCCGCTGTGAGCGGGAAAAGCGGCCTTGAGTTAAGGCACGCTTCTATGCTGATTAGCACCGAGGACATCTCCTCGTAGGTAAGTTTCCGATCCGCGATCACGCGCTTGAGGTGGTGCTTGACCGACTTGACGTTGGCCACCCAAAGTCCCCCAAAGTTAGGCGACTGAGGCGGATGCCAAACCTTTAAGTAGACGGTCTGCTCCCACAAAGTTGGTGCCGTTATCGCTATAAAGGTGCTGAACCATCCCTCGACGCCCAGTAAAACGGTCGAAGGACAGCAGGAAGTGCTCCGTAGTGAGCCCGGTCACCAGCTCCAAATGAACAGCTTTTGTTGCAAGACAGATGAACACTGCAATGTAGCCCTTGTAGGTGTTCGACCCCCGAATCCGCGCCGCTCTGAGCTCAATGCCTCCGGTATAATCCACTCCTGTCGTGACGAAAGGCCTCTGTGGCGAGTTCACTCGGTGAAGAGGCAGGTCTCCCATGAGCTGCGACGAGATGGTTGGGTTGGCGCAAAAGCAGCGAACACATTTCCGTATTACTCGCTGCTGGCGCGTATGAGCCAAGGTCAGCTGGGCACCTCCGTGAAGCATGGATGAGAATATTTAATAATCAGATCGGGAAAATTATGGGTACTGGGCAAAATAATAGGGTGGCGCCTGACCGGAGGCAACGCAGAAAATCTAAGACGGCCTCTTACCCGTAAAATATCCTCCACCAGAATTGGGGATAGTCGCAACAGTTTGCTCTGGGAAGGAAGCGGCTTTGAGTCTCTTACGGATCGAAGGTCCGGCGCGAACTACTCCTTCTGAACCATCAGTACGATGCAAAACATGGCGTCGTCGAGCTCGGGTATGCTCCAGGCTCCTGAGCGTCGGCTCGGCTTATGCGAAGCGTTAAAGACAAAACGCCTTAGGTAGGCGACCACCCGAACGGCTCGACTATACGTGGAAAAACGGACGACAAATGAAGGGACTGGAGAGACGTAGTGAATTTGGAGCTTATCCGCTTTCGCTTCCAGCGCTGGCTCGGATGGTAAAATCGAGCTGGGAAACTGCTTCAGCCAAGAATTTCGCTCGCGCGACAACCAGCCTTGCCCTTTCCACCACAGGGTGAAGTTCTGCAACTCCTTAGGTGTCAATCCTCTGGTCGCGCAGTCCGCCGGGTTGTCTCTGGTACCCACGTGTCGCCATTGACTTGGGTCAGAGTGGTCCAGGATGAATCCGACTCGGTTGGCCACCAAGGTCGTCCACCTTTGTACGTCTCCATTCAGCCAGTGCAAAACGTGGCGTCCGTCCAAAAGAATGTCTCCACCGGAACTCCTCCAATTCGAAACGCGGTGGACAACCACCTGACAAGCTTGACTGCCTGTACTGCTCCGCTAAGTTCTGTCCTGGGTATGGTTAACGGTCTGACTGGACGATGGTCCCGTTAACGTGCTCGACTCGCAGGTAAACAACGGCTGCATACGACGACGACGACCCGTCGCAGAAGGCATGCAACTGCACAACGGCTACAGAGGCGGGAAACGTACTCCGTCCACCGACTGACGGCGATGTCCTCGATTCCTGAAGGCCGGAGCGAAACGCTCGCCAACGCTCCAGAATCGCTGCTGGCACCGGTGAGTCCCAGTCCAACGAAATCTGCACTCCCTCGCTGTTCACCTTGACCAAAGTCACTTCCTATAAAATGAGCTTCCCAACGATGATGACCGGAGCTATCAGACCTAAGGGATCGAAAAGACGCGCGATAGCGGCCAGCAAGGTACTCTTCGTCGTGCAATCTGGAAAATCAAAATTCATTTTAAACCGGAAATAGTCGGAGTCTGGGAGCCAATACATCCCCAACGCCTTAACAGGATCCTTTGTATCCCAATTTAAAAAGAGTCTGACAGCATCGATGTTCCTGCGGGACAGAAGCTAACAATCGCGGATCGTTGCTCGACCATTTGCGCAATTCCATCAGTGCGGATTTTATAGCTCCCACGACTTGCACCCGCTTCTCTTCCGCATCCTCCATGGTGTGCCCTCCAGTTAGTATGTCGTCCACATATATTTCTTCCTTCAAGGCCTCGGCGGCCCTTGGGAATGAATCGCCAACTGGTGTAAGACTCTTATGGCAGTGTATGGTGCGGATGCCGTTCCGAACGTTAGAGTCGAAAACGCGTATGCCTTGATGGTTCCATTCGCCGCCCGCCATAAAATCGGCTGATATTGCGTGTCCTCCGGGTGAACGTCAATGCAGCGATACATTTTCTGAATGTCAGCTGCAAAATCATAACGATATTTTCGCCAATTGAGAAGAACTGCAGACATGTCGTTTTGGAGAGGGGGTCCGGTGACTAGAACATAATTTAGGGATCTCCCGTTGCTCGTCTTCGCGGATGCGTCGAACACGATCCTCTGCTTCGTGGCAGGACTTTCTGCCTTGTAGACGGCATAGTGGGGTAGCATACAAGATGCATGATGCATTCCGGTCGGAGTGCGAACACACAAGCTGCTCTCGGATCCTTCCGCGACAGCGATTTGTCCCAAGGTGAAATACTCCTCAATCTCCTCAGCGTACTGTCTTTCTTGCATCCGGCGTGCCGCAAGCCGCCTCTCGAGCTGGAGAAACCTGTTAAGGGCCCCTTGGTGAAATCGTCCCAACACGATGTTGTGGTCCAGATACCTCCACGCACCACGTAGCGCCCATCCGCACGTCGGGAATGCGTTCTTTGAAAGAACGATTTGCACCAGCGATCCTCCTCCGTGCGAGCCGTCCGCTCTGGTACGGTCTCGATCTCGAAAAAGCCCTTCAGAAGCGACTCCGCCTCGGAGACTGCATGATGGCAACGGATCTGCGTGGAGCTGGTCGAGTCGGCGGCTTGACCTGAAAGAATCCAACCCAGCTGAGTCTGTTGAGCAATTGGCTCCGTAGGACTTCCTACCCGTGTACCAGAAAGCATGATCTGCGCGATTAGGTCCACTCCCAAAATAAAGTCAATCCTCTTCGAACGGTAGTACTCCGGATCTGCTAGTGGAAGTCCCTGATAATGGGTCCATCGTTGCGGCGAGAAGCTTGAGCAGGGCAGCAGCGAAGTGGCCGTGTCCAAAACGTATTATGATTATTACTACTTAGAGCCTTGAAATTAACCATGTACTTGCTCGTGGACTCAACCCCTTTGCCTGCTCCGACAATGGACGTCCTCGCCATAGTCCGCCTGAGATGCAGGGATTGCACCACATGTTCGGATACGATTGTCGCTTCGGAGCCCTGAACGATGAGCGCCATGATGACAGCTTGGAGACCGTTGTCTGGATTCTGGACCGTGATGCGTTTTGTAGCCAAAAGTACATGATCCAGTCGATTAGAGGGCGATGAGGAAGTATAACATCGATATTCGGAGGCGACTTCCCGTTGAGAGTGATCAGAATTATTAGCCGGCAGGCTAGCAAAACCTGGGGGCGGAACGTCCCATTTTAGGACCCGAGCCTTATTGTGGTATAGACAGACACACAATCAAAGACTATCTGAGAACGGAAGAGGTACACATGAGGCAAACCTGCTGGGAGAGCACCACAGGCCAAAGACAAGGCAAAATCCTCATCGTCAATTATGACATGAAAAGATTCAAGAAGCTTTTACCACTAGAGGAGAATTCACTTAGGGTAATTACCATTGCTTGACTTTATCGGAGGAGCCGGTTTAATGGGTGAGCTTTAAGCTCAGAGGGGGTACAATAGAGCCAGTTGGGTCGAGGTAGCCAATTACCCCTTAAAAATAATAATAATAATAGAGTACTGACTTGGAACTATCTGTGGAACTATCATCTGCAGAGCAGATGAAGCGCTTAATAATTGTGATGTACTCCTTAGTTGGGAAAACAGCAAAGCAACCCTCAAGCGACCATACTCTAGCAAAAAAACGGAAGAAATGCTTGCTAGAGAGCTACACAATCTTCCGGACGGACTGAGTATGGGAAAACTATATATCAAAGCTAAGAAAATAGGAAGCGAATGTCACTGGCCAGAGAAGCAGACCCTAGTGGACATTCCCTCACGGCTAAACGTGACCAATATAACAGATTCTGCCTGAATATATTCTAAGTTGCATTAAAGTGGGTCCTTAGGTCAGCCATCAGGAACCAAGGGCCAGAAATGATTGAAAAAGCGTGCGAGTCCGGACAGATCGAAAAAAAACTTATCTAAAAACCTGAATAAACACGAAGAAACCCGACAACGCGATAGCTCGATGTGCAGGTGTAACGAACTGTTTTTATTGCTTTTATGCTCGCTACTGGATTGTGCGGCTAGCTCAGTAATAGTTGATGTTCGTTCGTCCCACCAAATTTATATGTTGTGATTTCCCCACCAGTGAATAAGAAGACAGCGTTGATTTCTCGACTTTAAACTTGTTTATTCGACTTCTAAATTTGACTATTTAGTGAACTGTTCGCCTCGGTATGATTCCCTTGATGCCTCCTCTTGGTTTGACGCCCTCTCCAGTGCTCCCGCTCGATCGCTGCCGTTGATGTCGGGTATCTCACGTGATGGAGTTGGACTATCTGGGCTTCACCCTAGTCCCTACTACTCCGTGCTGGGGCTGTTCAATCCTTGCCTCTCGGGGTTCCGCTGCCCCAGGACTCTGGCAGACACAGCAGGGTTCTCGGCGTGCACGCCTTTAACACCCGTGCCGTTCAACTGCGCGTCCTTAGCGGCTTGTCGCACCGAAACGCAACCCTCGCCACGAGACGGACCAAGCGTACGCCGGATTACCGTCTGGTAGACTCTACGATATGCGTCTGGTTCTGGACCCTTCCCCACCGAGAACACGTTTACTCGAATAAGGACTCGTATGTGCCGACTTGGTCAGGACCCGCCGGGCAATACGCCAGGCTCAATGTCTCCAACCAGGGGTCGTTACCGGCGCCTAGTTCGATTCGTGTGCTGCCCACAGGACCTCAGCTACCTGTGTCTCAATTCGGAGACTTGCAACTTAAAGTCCCGAACGTCTCGACGTAGCGATTTTGCTCCTTGTAGACTGCTTGCTTGGGATCCTCGTGTCCTTCGTCCACGCCGTTGATCCTTTCTCGTCCCGCTCTTCGTGTTCGTCCTCGCTTGAATCCTTGCTTGACTTCTCGCTGTCTGATGTATACTTGTGTTTCACTTCTCTTTGACTGATCCCGGCTGAACTGCGGGCCCCGCTTATATAGGGCCCCTGGTCCCGTTAATCCTCGGCGTCTCCTTTTCATTCTGGTCCAAGGTCCAACGGCGATCCCGTTACTTCATCGGTTGGATCGCGTGACCGGGTCCAAGGTCCACCGCGATCCCGTTACTTCTTTGGCTGGATCGCGTGACCGGGACCAAGGTTCACCGCGATCCCGTTGCTTCTTTGGCTGGATCACGTGACCGGGTCCAAGGTCCACCGCGGCCACTCTATCCTTTTATCTAGCCCATTCCTATTTGTGAGGAGTTATCCAACTCCTCATACAGGAATCAGTCATTTGTGAAAGGATAACCAACCAATATTGACTTAAATAGCCGCATACTCAAATCTACCTCGGGAAACCTAGATGACAACGACTGACAAAAATTATTAGTGGAATTGAAAA